ATTATTTGTGCACAAATACCCATGGGTATATAAATTTCTAGAGTATACTTCATATTCTAATATTATTAGTTAATATCGTTAATGCCTTATATAAATACATAAAAATTKAAAACATAYTATAATATGATAAGAAACATAAGGATRATGACGTTTTTGAAGTGAATAAAACGTCTAAGAAGTATGCAGTAGCACTGAACAGATCTATTTATTAATGATAAGGACAGTAAATTACAGATGTGCTCTGTGTGCAACGACCAGTGGAAAAGAACTTCCAGGACACACAGGTATCATTACGTTCGGGAGGAAAACGTTTKCTGTCGGAGTGACGGATCTCGGTAAGCTTCGTATTATTGACATGACGCGTCATGACGATATAATCGATAGCGACATTTGTCTGGAAAACCATTGGAGTCTTTATAAGTGGTAACATTAATGTTTTTAAAAGGGAAGGGGGTAAGAAATACTTAGAAATAATAATACAATCTAAGTAGAAGGAGGGGGGGGAAATCTGGTATTCTCCTGGTTACGCCACTGATAGCGCATAATATACAAACTACACAGTACTCATAAGATTGACAAAAAATTAAGCAACATGCAGTCTAAAAAAAATAACGTCGTAACTGAAATAATATTGCATTGTTACAACGTCGATGATTCAAATTCTAGGACATGATATAGCGAAACAACTAAATAGGTCATGAATTAATTAATTAATATTAAATGGAGACTCACTATAACTGTATAGATACATTAATGGTTTTGATGCATAATCTAGGCGTGGGAACTATACATGATTTGTTTATTTTTTTAAATTTGAACATTTATTTATGATTTAAGAAATCTGGGCGATAAAAGAGAGTTGGCGTTGGATGATTCAAGCAGAAGGTGGACGAGATGCCATGTTTGATTTACAAGAACTTCTACTCTTCTTTCTGCTCCTCCTGCTCACCTTACTGCACCCCATAGACCGTCTGCTCGAAGTTCGCCTCTTCCTTCTCCTCCTGCTCATCTTATTGCATYCCATAGACCGTCTGCTAGAGGACTTCTTCGTACGTCTCCGCTGATGGTTGAGGACCCCACCACCACAACTGCTGGATGAAGAAGCGTCTTCAGTGGTCTCTTCATTGGTGTCGACATCATCGTCGCTACCACCACTGGTCTGATGTTGACGACGACGTCGACGACTCCTCCTCCGCCTTTTCAATCTCCTCCGGGACGTCGCGTCCACCATCGACGAGTCGTCGTCTTCTTCTTCTRTGTCTGTTATAGCGTCTACTCCATCGGTACTACCAACCCTTCGTCTCCTTCCCCCGCGGCGMCCGGACCACGACCGCCTCCTGCGTCTCATAGATTTTCGCCTACTAGATCGACGACCACGTCTCATTTCTACTGGGCCATTAACACCAGCCAAAGAATCGGATACACCACCCGACTCGTCAACGTGATTTCTCAGCGACTCGCATCGTACTGTGGACTTTTTGATCGTGAATCGCTTTTTAGTGCTCCGTTTGCTATCCATAATAAGAAACGCGATTAGTTCCGAAAATATTGTGACAACCACAAATGGCACTCATACGATTTTCAATTTACTAATATCTTTCCTTCTCATTTTAATATCGAATATTAAACAATGTGTCCAACGTATATAAATACCAAACTCTGTACCCATATTTTATTTCAGCCAGCAACAACAAATATTGATGAAATCAGCTCTTATAGTTATATATAGCCTATTATTATATATAGTTATATTATGTAGAACCTCGATCACTCAAACCTCTATAAGTCGAATATTCTTTGTCGCTCATAACCGATTCGAGTTACCGAGGTTCCGCTGTATATATATACAATATTTTTTTTTCTTGAAAAATCAAGGTATATCAATCTTTGGCGCTCTTGTGTCTAATTATTTTCAATCATTCCCAAACTTTACAAAACTCATTTTTATCACTATCCAAACGACTTTGGAGGGTTTTATCTGAATAAATCAGAGATCGAAAAATATTGACCACCCTAATATATATATATTATATATAGTGTAAATATTATGTATTTTTGTATTTTAGTATGATATATTATTATATATAATTTGAAGATTAATTATTACTCTATAGTATAGCTGGTTGATACAACTTAAACGCAGATATTTAACTAAATTACATATAAGTGAAATTAAATACTCAGAGCTTAGTAAGTGTGGTGACAGTAAAAATGCAAAATGCCAATATAGACTAGTGGATGGTCTTTTAAGTTCGAATATAATAAGTGCAAATTCTATGAATCAATAATGCAAACAAGTAAAATGCTTAAAAATATACTCAAGTTCAATTATTATTCTAACGGATCGTAAGATCTACAATATTGAAAATAATATTAACAATACAAATGATAATAACAATAATAATAATAACCACGATAATACAATAATAATAATAATACCTACAAAATACATTAAAAACATAAATATCTATTTACATAATTATTAAAAGATTCCAAGGAAGTAAAATTAAATAAATCGATGCTGGTATCGTTCGCTAAAGATATAATTCTGTTTATGTGTGAGGATAATGAATAATTTGTTTTTTGAGAACCTATATAAAAACTATTAGTAGACCTAGTTTTACGCTGAGGAACATTAAAATTGAGGAAACTTAATCGTGTTAAAAGTGAGACTTTATTAAACGTTAATTCAAGTTTGCTCATATAAATCGTTTCACTGTCACTTTATAGAACATCTTATTTACATTATTTAATTAAAATTAACTATAAATAAGTATTAAAATCTTTATTTTCTATGTTTTCGAAATTAAGTATTTTGTTTTCGTATGTTTTTTTTTTTCAATAACTTCGAGTAAGTAAACGGTTTAAAATGAAATTACCAGCAATCCATTTGTTATACACTAAAGGTTCACAGAAAAACATTTATATAAACATTTTTTTTTTTTTAAACTTATAAAAACATATATTGCACACCAACTATGTATACTGTACCTACTCGTATACGCCAATGATTTCTAATCGTCTTATGAAATTTTATTATTTTTAGCGCATTGCGAATTCTACGAACGATAAAAATTTTTATCGGTAATTAGGGATRTAAAAATAGTATATAATAAACGTCATATAATATTGTATTAATATTTGTTTTATTTGTATGTTTGAATAAAATCTAAAGAGTAAAAATAAATGATAATATTATTATCGTTGAATCATAAAAATATTTGAACTATTGTGAGCTACATTTAAAGGGCGTCAGTCATGTGTTTGAGACCAAATGGCACAGTTATTGAAAAAAAAAAAACAATTAGACAAAATATGAAGTAATACAGGTCTGTAAATAACATACCGAATCACGTAAAAAAATTCCAAAGTTCTGAAAAAATTAAATTTTTATCTCCAATAATGTTTAAATGTTTTTAAAAATGTTACTATGTATAAAAATGACTATAATTATATACATTTGAAAGAAATTCCAAACAACTACAGTTATTAGTTTTTGAATAAGAATAAATAGTGTTTGTTATTTTATGAGTGAATATACAATATCTAATTTCAAATACTCGAAAAAAATATTTTGATTTTCAGGTAATCTTTTTTTTTTTTTTGTTAGGTATAGAAAAATTTAAGAGGAATCTTGTAAAAACATTTTCTAATCTTAGTGATATACTTATAATAATGTAATATTTTTTTATAAATTTCTAATTCGTAACAATTTAAAATTTTTTATGATTTTAACTACATACATTGGTATACGAGTTAGCAAAAATACAACGATATCTACCAGTATCCGAATTCAATACCAGTATACCACAAAARCCGAACCAAAACCACGTAGATTGTGTGGTACTATGCATGGTTTAGGAGATAACGAATAATTTAATATTGAATTTGAATATTTCAAGAAATAATTTCAATATTTAGTGCAATAAACATAACAAATAAATTACGAATACACTGCTGTCGTTGTTTGTTATTGAAATTCGGATGGCATCATTGTTATGACGCATAAAAAAGTTCAATATTATTACTTCTGATTACTTGCCATAATATTAAATTAATTATTTATTTGTTCAAGAGAACTTCTCATCAACACGGTTTATATCCGACTTGATAATATTATCTAGCAAATTTCTGTTCAACTGAATCAAAATTAATTGTTGTCTGATTAAGTACCAGCGTGAATAACTGATTTATAATCAAACCATAAAGTATAAGRGTATTATCTGTTTTTCGTTTGTTTCTTACAAGCTATAATTGATGGCTACTTGCATCAAATTTAAATAGGTACCTATACCTATAGAAAAAAAACAAAATATGAACACAGTTCACAGATAATCTCACGTTTAAATTTTAAATAGTTGGTCAACTCAATGCCTATATTTTTTAAGCTAACAACAACACAAATTTGTTCTGATAAACTGAAATAATTACTATGTTATACATGTTTGAATGATAAGAGTGAGATAGCTTGCGGGTCCCTTTTTAATCTAAACTTTAATTTTATCAAAACAAAATGAAATTATAAAATAATGTATTAGATACCTATAGTTACCTACAAATTTTTTTTATTGAAAAGAGGTGTTGCCATTTGAAAAAACAAAATTTGTATTTCCTGAATAACTGCATTATTGAAGAAAGAATAGGGTGAGCGTGCTTGGTAAATCACTTAGTATAGAATATATAGTTAACAGTCTCAGAATTCCTATCACTATTTTTGGTCATATTCACAGTAATTTATGTTAACGAAGTTTTCACAATCAAAATTATAATTATTATCCTTTTCTACCATTCTTTAAACAACTATTAGGTATATAGCGTCAGTCTTAAAATTATCTTCTATAAAAACGCGAGTACCTTCCTATTAATATAATATAAATATCATAATACATTTGTACGTCAAATGTGGCATATATTATGTAGGTTTATGYACTGTCATTTTTATTCAATATTATTACTAAACGCAAACGAATTCATTGTTTGATGCGTACCATCTATATAGTATTGAATCAATTTTAATCTAGCCGAGTTACGCTTAAAACRTTCGCGTAAAATGTATCCATCCGAGGTTGACATTAACGTAAATTGTTCGTCGAAACGATCGTTAATCATTAATTCTGTACAGAAACTATCTATATATTATTATAATATAACATGACGTAATGCAGCGCAAGACAAATAAATTTTATATGGTTTTC